ATACACACATATATATATGTATATATATTATGTACATACGTATACATTTATATGTATTATAATAACAATAATAATATTTGAATCTATATTATACACATGTATTAATCAAACTGATCGTACTGTTTTTCATCTATCTTTATATTCTGCTGCTCTGGATTTTTTTTTTTTAAAGGTGAACAAAGCTACCGCGACAGACATCAATGGGGACTACACATGTAAAGTGGCAAAGAAGGGCACGAACATTGAAAAGTCTGACACGACGTCTGTCGCAATTGGTAAGTCGGGGGCACAGGCAAGACTTACTGCTCATGTAGGAGAGCTGCAACCAATTAATAAAAGTGTTTTTAGTGAAGTGCAGCCTTCAGTTCCTGACGAGTTTGCATGAGGTGCGGCCTGTTTCTAAATTCCAGTTAAGGTCTTCTTACAGATGTCCTGTTGGGTTAAGGTCTGCGAATCTTACAGGCCAGTCCAGAACATTGGTTATGCTGAGTTTGGAGAGAGTCTTGACTCATCATGGCCCCATGGAGTCGCGCGTTGTCTTGTTGGCAAATTCTTCCATCATCTGAGCCATGTAGGGCAAGGCATCAAGCAAGACGGAGAATTTCGTCTCAGTAAGTCGCCCTCTGAGGTTGTCTCGTTCTAATGCACAATAGAATTGTAAATGGGCTAATCCAACAATGTCATGCTCATAACTGTGCCTGATCTACAACAGGGAACTGCTGATTTTTCTTTCCTAATCCTTACTATCGTCATTTTCCTCTACTTCTTTTGTATGTTTGTCACACTCTTGAGCCCCGATATTTCCGTGGTGCCTTGATAGTCGAAGCAGGCTTTGTGCTGTTGAAAAGTTGGAGAGGTGCGCAGAGTAAGTCTGATTCCCTGTAATGACCTCTCTGTTGACATCCACCCCTTGGCGCTCATATGACCTTATGCAGTTGTGAGCGCCGTGAAACCTCTACTAAAACTAAACATTACCTTACTCACACCTTTTAAACTTTGCAGGCGCCCACAGCATCCATGTGACTAGGACCTAACTTTAAACAAATCCACGCAAACTGCTTTTTGCCGATTTTTCCAAAATGCTTTGTTTCGTCCACACAGAATCTTGGGAAAGACCGTTTTCTCAGACGCCATTATAAACAAGTGAGGTTTCAGTTCACTATCCGTGCGCACTGTTCCACACCTTTGAAAATCTGGAATGAACAACCACGAAAGCGGAATAGAGAATCAATCTAGGCCTATACATCTATTATATTTGGGAACTTGGAAATACATATGTCACTTTTCTCTCAAGATCTATTACTCCATTCCAGTAGAGTGTAAATATAGTACACCAATGATATTCTGTTGATGTTAATGCACCGATCATTCCTTTCATCGAAAGGGGGCCCCAGCTAGTCTATTATATATTTGGCAGCTTGGAAACACATGTGTCTCTTTTCTCTCAAGGTTTATTGCTCCATTCCTGTAGAGGGTAAATTGTAGTATGCCAATGACTTTCAGTTGGAGGTAATGCACCGATGATTCCTTTCATCGAGAGGGGGGCCCAGCTAGTTTAAAATCATCATCATCCGGTGCCTTGCCGACTGGCGTGGGCGATCATGGACCTCCACTTCACCCTGTCTTGCGTTGCAGCAATGGTGTCTGTTGTTCTTGCTGCTCCTAGCCATGTAGTCATCTTGTCCAGCATCCGTTCCCTCTGTCTGCCTCTGCCTCTCTTTCCATCAAACTTGCCGGTTGTTACAATATTCTCTAATGCTTCTTTCCGCATTGTGTGTCCGAAAATATTTGCCTGTCGCTTTCTTCTTATATTCGTCATAAGTTGTCTTCTATAATTTGCTTCAGTTTAAATCAAAACCTGCTTTTCCCTCTCGTAGCATCAGACCTGGCCAAACCGTCTCTGACAGCGCCAGTCGGCCCCAGCGACATGATAGAGGGGACCCAGTACCAGCTCACCTGCACCTCCGCGTCTTACACCAAGGCCATGACCTTTGAACTTCGGGGCGGCGCCAAGACCCTACAGAGCACGGACGGAATGTTCAAGGTCGTCGCTACCTCCACGGCCACAGGTAAAAGAGGACGTTTGTTTGTTTGTTTGTTTGTTTGTTTGTTTGTTTGTTTGTTTGTTTGTTTGTTTGTTTGTTTGTTTGTTTGTTCGTTTGTTTTATTTTGTTTTTTGTTTGTTTTGTTTGTTTGTCTTGTTTGTTGGGTGGTTGGTTGGTTGGTAGCTGTTGTTATTGTTGTTGATGATGATGATGTTGTTCTTGTTCTTGTTCTTGTTTTTGTTGTTGACTTTTTGTTTTTGGTATTATTTTGATTATAATTGCTTTTGAAATTTTTCTAGAACATTACAATTTTAATTTTTTTATATTTTTTTTACTACTTTTGATATTTTACACTATAGTGTTGCTGCTGTTGTTGGTGATGT